AGTGCTGTCTTACTTAAGGCATTACATCATTTCTCCAGGGATTCCTCCAACGTAAGACCAAATATTGCTATTTAAACTACCTGGTAGTCTGATACAGAGTCGTTGAGTTGTCAAGTCTGATGCTTTGATTGTGAACCCCCGGGGCAGCAGTCTGGCAGCGCCTTTATATGTTTCTCTCTAGTGAGTCCAGATATGGCGTTTGGCTCATCTATGCTCAAGTTCCTTTTCTTCCTCTCCGTCAGGTCCATGGCCTGGAAACAGGAGATAGCTCTTTGGGCTGTCACTAGAGTATCGTTGCTTTAGATTTCCCAGGGAACTTCTTCACTATCTCATGAACACATAAAAATGTGTGTGAGGATCATATGTGAATGTCTCCAGGACCCTGGTTGGTTAAGTTATAGTGAATCTTGGAAACTGCAGGCAGATGACGAATTTTTACCTTTCCTTCTCGTTACAACAGCACACAAGGGTGTGCAGAGCTGCATACTGTTTGCAGCAGCTATGTATTCTGAAGTACTCTTTTAGAGGGATTTTTGGAGACTGGGAAGCGTTTAGAATAAGCTTCAAGGTGACCTTTGCTGGTGCCTTTTCGGGAAGCCTGTAGCCTGCCTGGCTCTTTTTAGTTTCTTTACAAGCCCTGGAGCAGGTAAACCTGATTGGTCACCAGCTCCACAGCTGGTAGCTCCCTGATCATTCACACTTCGTCAGTATTCACCTTTGACTTGATATTTGTGTAGAAATCTCTCCTCACCCACGATGGAGATGATTAAGACGAGCCTGGAGAGGATATATTCCTTCTTTTGCCTCCAGAAAATTGGATTTGGCCTGAGTTATGAAATATATTCATTTGTGTTGTAGCTCAGTGGTTCTCAGCCCTGGCTAGACATTCGAATTACCTAAGGAACTTTTTAAAAATACCAACTGCCTGGGATTTTTTCCAGAATAATTAAATCAGGGTTGCAGCGCCTGGAGCCTGGCAATGCACTTCATCAAAGCTCTGTAAGCAAGTGGAATGTGCAGTTAGGGGTGCAAACCCCACGAAGAAGATGGACAGGCATGGAGGTAGCTCCTACCTTTCTACTGCTATTACTAGAAATAATATTAGTACTGCTACTGAACACTTACTATGTACCTACTGTACACAGACATTGTTCTCAGTATTTTCTTCAAATGGTGTTGACCCTGTGTTTTTCTTACAAGCCATGAGTTTATTTTGTTTTACAAATGTACATATGGGAAGCCTTGGGGATGTAGAACCCTGCTATCTGAGTAGAATGACAGTCTTTTGGGCGTACTCCCTGCTACAAAAGCAACATCTAACTTGCTTGCTAGGTATGTATCTGATTTTCCATATTCATCTTCTTGTCATAAAAAGCTTCAGTGGCTCTCATATGATTAGCCTGTCAGTTCTGCCAATAGAGATCTGCGCATAACATAGCAAACAGCAGGAAGTCCAGATCCTTGACCTCCTAGTTCCTAGGGTCAGACCTCACCTGGGTTTTCTAAAATAAATCATGGTTGAAAATATTTTCTAAGTAGAGAGACCCTGATAACACAACACCAGGGGAGACTCTGTGGAACAGATGAGCTCTGCTGACAGTTCGAGCTGTAACGGTACTCAGATGCAACACATTTGCAGATGGTTTCTTATGCTCTGTGTATAACCTTCCTGAGCAGGCTCCATCACGAAGGATGATGAGAATGCAGTGGATTTAGAGCGTGTAGTGGACATGAGTGGTGTCAGGCAAGGGTGCGTCCTCTGTCCCAGCAAGGTCCTACTGAGCCTTCCTCTCATTTTCCCTTTTCAGATGCTGTGCTCTATGCCCAGAGGCCCCAAGGGCTTGGGATGCGCCTTTACCTCTCTAAAAGTTGACACTGAATATAATTATCTGCAAGGCCGACCAGCTTTGTTGTCTGGGAGCCTATTCTTGGCAATGCATTTTGATAGCAGCTCATTGTCCTTTGATCTTTGTAGCGAACAAGTTACCTATTGCATTTTCAAACATCCTGACAGCTTTGAAAGTCTAATATCCTAGGATAAAAAGCTCTATACCAAGGAATTGCAGTCACACCTTAGGCAAGAAGTTGGCTGTGCATATGGAAATACCTGTCTCCCTGTAGCTTTGCCCTAATACCCCTCCCCTAATGAACATCGGTTGCCAGTGTATATAAGGCATTTAGTGCCTCAGGGTTATGATTAACTGGAGAAGAACACAATTCCAAGGCTTAGGGTTAAATGCCGGTAGTGATGAGCCCTGTTCCTTCCTGTGTACAGAAAGAAGGGTTAACTAGAGTTGTCCTACTCCTTCAGTATACTATCTGGTTATGAAAGTCTTCTATAATGAAGGGAGGGAGGAAAAAGGAGGCTAAGGATAATAAGTTGATAAATCTTAAGATGTGGTACATCTTCCTGAGCAGGATGTCTCAACAATAGTCATACTACAAGGGTCTGGTTTCTGGTGTGTTTACTGAATGTGTAGCCTAGGTAGGATGCTCTTGTCACTTTGCAAGGTCTTTTTAGGGAAAACAATCTTTTTGAAGTGCCTGGTAGGGACTGGCTGGCTGGTTCAACAGTTAAAAAATGTTTGCTGTTCTTATATAGAACCCAAATTTGGTTGCCAGCACCCATGTTGGGTAGTTCATAATTGCTTATAACTCTAACTTTTGGGGATCCAATACCATCCTCTGACTACCAAGGGAACTCACACATGTGCACTTACACATATGTAATGCACAGCCATACACATAGGTACAAATAAAATAAATCTTTAAAAAGAATGACTTTTATCAGCTATATCATATAAAGGTCAAGATAGACACTTCTTCCTTATTTGGCATCTAGGTCCTTCAGTAGAATCTGATGTGTTCTGTAAATGATTAGGATGCTGGAAAACAAGTGCTGGCAGGCATTGCCCTAACCATTGCCTTCCAAGGTCAAGGGACATCCGCCACACTCATTAGAACTTCTGGGCTTTGTGCTACGTATCATTAGTTTTAGGGAACTTTAATTCTTATGTAAACTTTAAAATTTTTAGAAACATTTCATTGTTGAAGCCATTTTTGAGTTTTCATGCCTGGAAAACATGTTGAATGGAGTGTGTTGGGATTTGTCACATTTGGGGGAAGACACATTCCCATGACGTGCGACTCTACTGGTTACGTTATTGCAGGGTGTTCCTGAACAGTCTTCTAGACCTAGGCCATTGCGTTTAGACATACTCTCCAATGAAGTCTAACGTTGATCTTCCTATTTGTGCATGTGCCCAGTGGGATGTGGCACAGTAATAAGCCTCTAACAGATTGCTCATTGTGTTCACACTTAAAGGGTTCCTCTAGTCTTGTCGTGAGTATGGCAGGTATTTATGTTGTGTCTTTTGGTTAAGTGGACCTTGCAGTCTGGTTAATATACACACATGGTCAATTACAGTGCGGCCCCTCTGGATGTCAGGAGGCTTATAAATCAGGAGACTACAAAACAAAAGAGATAGATGATGACTCAGGGTGAAAAAATCTGTATGCCAAACCCTACTTATTTATTGCAGTTGGAAAAATGTCCCCAGTTGAATTGTCCCTGGCTTAAACTCGGCTTCCTTTTTTATTCCCATTTTCTAAGTTATTTTTATGGTGTACTGTCAAAAGTACCTTTCATTTACTAAAGGAGAACATTTATCACCTTCCCTAATCTATTATTTATAAGTACCTCGGGCTTCTGGTGTTTTCCGCATTTGTTCCCATGGCAAGCCCTAAAACCTCACATTTAGGGCTCACTGGAGATTTCCCTGGCTTCTTGAGTTCCCCTGCTGGCTTGGGTCTTCCAGGTAGAAGTCCCCATGTAATCCAGTGTCACCAAATGATAACATGTGCAGTGCCCAGGCTACAAACCAGTCAAGATGGTAAGATGCTTGACTTCTCAGATGGGCAGATGCCCAGTTACACTCTAGAAAATTCAGTCTTCTCTCCTGTCTACAGTTCAATGGCTATGTCACCATGAGCAGGAATCCTCCAGGTCTCTTGTTTTCTCCTCTGGAAAATGGGAGCAGTTCTAATCCATGTCTGAAATTTGGGTCTAATAAAGCAGTATTTGTAAATAAAGCACTTAGCAAAGCTTCCAAACTTCCCTGAGGCCCATGTGTGTCATCTGTCCAGGTGTGTATAGTTGACAATGAGATGTCTTGTTTAATGGTTGCTCCACTTTATTGTTTGGAAACAGGGTCTCTCCTTGAACCTAGATCTTCTATTTCCACTAGAAGGTCTGGCCAGTGAGCCTTTGCAATCTGCCTGTCCCCACCCTGCCTGCACTGAGCTTGCAGACCGTTGCCACATACCTGAATTTTTAAGTGGGTATGGGGATCCAAACTCAGGTTCTCAGTCCTGTGTAGCCAACACTCTCTCATACCCCTGAGTCATCACCCAGCCCTCCTGAATCTTTTTATTTATTTATTACGAAGGAATAACCATGTACTATGAAACACACCAGCAGGAGGCTATTAATCACATTCAACCTAAGCTGTAAAGATGAAGGGAGGTTGGCAAGTTCAAGGAAAACTGGAGAAACAGTGTAGAGTTGTCCAAAGTCTGATTCTAGGTCCAGCAGCACCTGCATCACTTGATCCCTGGTTATAAAGGATCACTTGCAGAGCCACTGAGTCTGAACTTTGGGAGTGGGCTGGACAGTCAGCATGTTAAGGAGTCCTTCAGGTAATAGATGTTCACTGAAGTTTCAAACCCTATGGTTCAAAATAAACTCAATAGGTATTGGTTGTGTGTTCTTCCTGTAGATGCTTGTGTGGATGCTTAACTCATGTGAGTCCCTGTCGAAACTAACCAGATGTGTAACATCAACACAACTGGACAGAGTGGTGATCAATTACCCTGTTTCCCTTGGTACTTTTGTAGAATAGAAATACATCTAGAATGCCCCCCCCCATTTTGACAGCCTTATACCAGATTATTTAGAGGGCTAAAAAATTTACTATTCAATGTTCTTTTTTCTCCCTTAGGAAATTCCACTTACTTGGATGACCATGGACCACCTCCTAGTAAGGTAAGGTCATTGCTTGTGGCATAATCTACTTTTCCTTTAGCAATATTCTTATGCTTATATACTCTATCAGCTCCTGGGCCTCCAGTGAACCCAGGCAGGTCCTTTCTAGCCGTGAGTTGTTCAAGAAAGCAAGCAGTAGGTGAATGGTGTCAAAAGAATCTTCAACTTTAATGATGAGGAACCTTAAGAGTCTGAAGACAGCCAAAGTGACAAGGGAGTAAAACACATCACTTAATCTGTGACCCGGACTCACTCCAGACCTTTGTCAAGCTCTTCTGTATTCCTATCTCATTCTCCTTTGTCATTGACTGGTTTGTTTTGGCCCTTGATGTGAGTGAGTACATGATAGAGCCTCCCCATGGTGGAGGACCTTGGGGATATTGTCATTTCTGTCAAATTCTCTCTGGCCCACTCTAATTGGATTACTCCACTCATGCCCAGTTAGTGTCCTCCCATGTCTAGTCGGCTAGCTGTGCCCACTTCGCTCTTCTAAAGAGCAGCTTACCTAACATTTTTTGATGACAGAACAGTTAATAAATGTAATTTTCCTGCCACATTCTACTTTCTTGACCTTCATGGAAGTCAAGTGCAAAGTCATTAAAGTATGGGAGATAAAACAAAAAAACAAAAACAAACAAACAAAGAAAAAACAAAACAAAACAAAAAAAAACCAAAACCAACCAAACAAAAAACAACCCAAGATGAAAATAACCTTGGCATGTGAGAAAAAATAAATGTAATGAATGGACTCTCCTTGTTCTAAACTAGGTCTCTCATGCTTGTTTGACATGATTTTCCCCCTTGTTGCAAGAGATCGTAATAGCTGGTCAGCCCTTAGAAGAAGACATCATAATTGACAAGATCAAAGTTGGTCGCCATATGCCTATTGGTTCAAGTTTTATAGGTAGTCTGTGAAAGCCTAGATGTCTGTACACTTGGATTCTTAATATTTGACCACTGGAGACAATACTTGCCAAGTGCAGTTGTTAACTGTGTTGAGAAAATAAGATGTCTAACATTTGGAGCTTTGGAAATAGATATCATGTATGTCCTTTTTGGTTGTTACTGTTTGAGAGACAGAGTTTTATATCAGCCCAAGCTGGCCTTGAAGTAGCTATATAATTGAGGATGACCTTGAATTTCTGATCTCACCTCTTGAATGCTCAGATGTCAGTCAGGTACACCCTCGCTTGGTTTTATATGATGCTTGGGATCCAACCCCAGGACCTTATTGTGCTAGGTGAGCATGCTAGCAATGGAGCTGCATCCTCTGCCCCTTGGAAAACTGTGTCTGAAGTGTATTGGTTCTGCCACTTGGTTTGGCACTGAGTAAATCACTTAATATTCTGAGCCTCAGCTTTTCCTGGGCAGAGTCTGACTAAAATCACTGCCTAGAGCATAGGATGTCCAAACAGCACTCAACACTGAAAAGTGACAGTCAGTAAATCAGCAGTGGCCTCTGCTTCCTGGGCTAACATTAAGGTTATTGAATGAATTGTAGAGTATGATTTCGTCACAAATGAAAGGTGTTCTACTGTTTGATCCGTTGCGTGTGTTTTTGGGGGGCATGGTGGGGTTCAGGGGGAGGGGAGTTGTTTGGGATATTACAGACACTAGAAAACAAATAGCCAGCAGCAACAAGGTAAATAGCTTCCTAGAGGAGCAAAGGGATGCAGAGGTCAGGACTTGGTCTGACACATTCACTTCAAGCCCTTATACGTCTCTAGGTTCAGAGAGGCAAGTAAAGCCTCCTCATTGAATCCGTCAGATTGGACCATGCCACCCACAGCTAGAATCTGAATTTGAACTCTTGGTTCTCATCCTGAGTTCTTCTCTTGAGGCCAGGTAGCATCAGAATTACCGGGGCCTTATTCCAGCACACGTTGCCCTGCCTAACCCCACAGTGTCTGATTCCACGGTCAGAGGTAGCGCCTCAGAGTCTGTATCTCCCACAGCCTCCCGGGATGCTCACGCCATGGGTCTGCAGTCCACATTTGAGAGCAGTTTCCGTAAAGGCCATGAGTGAGGGAAAGTATTTCTCCACACCTTTGCTGTGCTGTTTTCACTACATGGCTTATTATGTAAAGGTTGCTTATTAATAAAATGATGATTCACCATCATTAAGGTTTTTTTTTTTTTAACTTTTAAGTGAAACATTTTTCATTTGGTCAGCAACCAGCCCAGGAGGGAAAAGAAAGAGAGAGAAAGAGCAGCACAGATCACATATGAGGGTCCCTTACCTTGGTGCTTTTTCTCTGGTAGGGGTAAGTGGTGCTTTTGTGTCTGTGCCCTGGTCTGAGGACACGCAGAAGGGGTAAGGGCACTCTGTATGGGTCTGCAGGCTGGTTGCTGGGGGGGGGGGTACTTTAAGTACAGTCTGCTAAGCCAGGTGTTTGTTTGTTTGTTTTTTCCTGGGCAGAAGACTTGGGCCCATTTGGCACTGTATGGCGGAAAACTCAGTAAGAAGAATATAATGAGGGGTGAAAACACTCTTGCGTGTGAGCGTATTTTCATCCATGCTTCTGACTTCCGCTGGAGTGAAACCGAACCCTAGAAGTGATGAAAGCAGTCTTCCAGATAAAGGTCCCTGGAGTGTCCCCTGGGGCAGAAGGCTAATCATTCAGGTCTGCAGACCCCTGGCTTAGGTAGAGACATGGTGACTGCCACAGGATAAGGACACACACATGTCTGGCCTCTGGAATGAACCCACCTGGCAGAAGAAAGCTGAATGGAGGCCAGACCCATAGTTTTCATATTTGCTTAGCACTCAGAAATAACTTCTTGACGCCAAGACCAAGGGTTGTGATCTTGATAAAATAAAAGTTTTAAGCCCTGGAAATATACTGAGTTACCACCAGTTCTCTTTTATTAAAAGTTCAAGCCAGCAAGTATCACATTCCACAAGTACTAGCCGTGTGGGGGATGGGGTGTGCCACCCACAGCACACTGGGCCCCACTCCTCTTCCTCTCCAGGATTTTCATAAGAGAAAAATGAGCGCCTGTGATTTTTCACTTGCTTTTGAAATCTCCTTGGGCCTCACAGCTCTCTCTCTTCAGTCTTTGAGTGAAGCCATTATCAAAAGGGGAAGCTAGTGTGTGTTTATTTTTAAGACAACCACTTTTTATTGCCACTGTGCTGTGTAAGGATGGAGCCCCACTGAGAATGGACAGGAGCATCTCTAAGAATGAACACGTGCATCTGTAGCAAATGAAATGCAAAGGTATTCTTGACTACAGGAACCAGCACGTGTGGTGTGATAGCCAGGTCTACAGTGAAAGTCCTGGAAGGTTTCTAGTGTTTTTCTCTTTTCAGATAGGGTCTCAGAAGATACATTTTTCCCTTTTTTTTTTTATAAAAAAAAACTTTCCTGTATAATTGGAGTTCATTAAAGTAATGCCTGGTCTTTTGAAAAGGTAGGGAAAACAGTTTCCTGGGTAGGGGAAGCCTGAAGTTGAGCTTAAGAGTCAGCACATTGAGCAACTTGTCCCATAGGACACTGCCTGACCCTTTATCTGGGATGTCTGTCGCTCATGCGGGCAGCAGCCATTAGCATCCGTGACTTCTGTTGGTAGTAAGTGACTACAAGTTATCATTCCATATGTCTGGGCTTCCCATATATGACAGACAGAGCAAGAGACCTGTTAGCAGCAACTCTAGGACAATGAAAATCACTACCTTTAGCTGATCTGTATCTCTTCCTGTGTGCCAAAAAAAAAAAAAAAACTGCCAACCTCTTTGTATGCAAAATGTACTCTCTATCAAGCTTTATAAAGCAGGTAGTAATTTTTTTTAAGTCTTTATGGTGCAGAGAAGAGATCTGGGTCCCAGGAGGGCTGACTAATTCACTAACACTGTTGGAGTTCAGCCCAGGGGTGTGCCGTTTCAGGGTCCACGCTTTTAATAATTTCAAATCGACAAAATGAAATACAAACACATTTTGTCTTTGCTTGTGGGATTTGATATGTTTCAGTAAGTACCTAGTACTTTGATTGTGATATAAATATTTAGCCTTTAGTTTCCAGAAAAAAAATATTCATTACCACTTACCCTCTGATTTCTGGGGACACTTTCAATGTTTTAAAATCAATCCTTCCATGTCTACTTTATTTGCTGTCTTTCCCAGCTTACCATCGCATATAATTTTTCTAAACAACGTTGTTTGTATGCTCACTTTTGTCCTTTGTGTATTTTCAAACCATATACATGGTAGTACCATTTCATATCCACATACCCAAACAGGCCAGCAAATGGGATCTGACTTAGAAAGAAGATCTACACGGATGTGTAAAATGAGGCTAGGGCAGACACTAAGTACATTATGAATGACAGCTTCATAGAAGACAGACTTGTGCTGAGGGACAGAGACACTCTAGAAAATGACTTGTTTTCCCCAGGCTTATTGGGGAGCCCTGTGGCTAAGAGAAGGGCTTGGAGGGACTGCTCCTCTAGTATCCCAAAACACAGGAAACTGCATTCACCTTATGTCAGACCTCTGGCTTTCCGAGGAGAGATCACATCCGATTATCCTAAACCACCCTATGTGGGGTACGTGGGCAAGGCAGCATTAGGCAGAACTATAAACAGGCTACATTCAATTTCTCTATTGACCCGAATAACATTTCCTGTTGAGCAATGTTGTGTGTTATTTGATTTTAGGTAATAAATGGTGAGGCCATCATTAGAAGTTTACCATAGCATATAATTTTTCTAAACAACATTTACTGTTACTTGATGGGGGAAGTCTTTCTGTGTATATGTTGTACTATTGGTTGATAAATAAAGCACTGTTGGCCAATAGGGAAGCAAGATAGGTGGGACTAGGGGTTGAGGAGGACTCTGGTAAATGTAGTCAAGAGAGGGAGTCACCTTATGATCCTGGGAAGAGAGGACACATGAGCCTGCATCCTGGTAAGATAAGATCTTATAAAAATATATATTAGTAGTTATAGGTTAATAATTAAGTCAGAGCTAGCCAATGAGAAACCATAGCCGACAGCCA